TTCCACGGGTTCCGTGTTATACGTTAAGTTTCCCGATTAACTCTTTGCACTCGATGCCAAATTAACGCAAAATTTAAAATAGTTTTTTTCACCCGCGATGTTCCCATTTTGTGATTCATGGAACAGTCGCGCTTTTAACAATTCATTTATCAATTAATAAACTTATTTTGAAACGTGACACAATAATTTTTAACGCCGCCTTGGAGCCGCCATTCGACTGCAAAGGGTTCAGTTTTGACTATTTTCATTTCTCCAGCAATCCACGAGTCAATCAAGAAAATGACTATTTTTGGTGATCCGGTACGATGATCTGTTAGCAAGCTGAAACTAACGCATCGACGTGCTCTAATTCTCTTATCTTCCTTCCTATTGTAGCGACACGTTCTCGTTTTCCTACAAAATTCGCACGCTCGTGTACCAGTTTCGGTGGGCCTCCATCGATCAATCCGGCGCGTTTGCAAATATCAATACATTTAACCGAAACTTTGGGGAAACTTGCGCCGATCCGCGCTCCGCGGAGTGCTCGCAGCAATATTTTATAAAAAATTTGGCTGTCACGGTTCACAGAGTGCCGTGTAACACCGTCCGCTCTGTGACTCAGTCAATCTGCAATCGGACAATCGGTAACATGGGGAGTAGCCGATGGTCGTCAAGAGAACAAAGCCGACGATTGGTCCGCGCTCTCGCGGAAAGGGGGGCCAATTAAAATTGATGGTTAAATCCGAGAGGGCGAAAAAGAGAGAGAAAGAGAAGAAATAGCGAGAGAGAGAGAGAGTGGAGCACAGACCGGCAAAGGGCCGCGTCCCGCCTCAAAGTAAAACTCGGCTGTCGAAACCGCGTGGATCCGCGCGCGTATGAATTTACCATGGTCCGCGGGAAACAACGACGATACCGTAGCGAGGAGACGATTAGGGTCGGGCTGCCGTATCCGAGTCTCTTTGTGAGCCGGGAAAAACTCGGACGTCCGCGAAAAGGGGGAAAGTCGAAGCGTGAGCGCGGGGTTCGGCTCGGTTAGGAGAGTTTTATTCCGCGGCGGTGTTCCCGCCGGCGCGCCGGTCGATCGTTACCAGAGAGCCCGTTGCATCGACGATCGATCCTCGTCGACGATCGAGACGAGGAGATGGGGCAGGACGGACGGGAAAGTTGCTGGTTTTTAACGCTTTGATCGGGATATTTTTAATCAACGGGTATACCGGTCGGCCCGCTGTGACGCGACGCGACGCGACGCATCCCGGCGCGGAGCGTGGCAGAACGGCGCAGAGCAGAGCGGAGCAGAGCGGAGCGGAGCAGAGCGGAGCGGAGCGGCCGGCCCACTCGACAGATCAAAGGAAACCGGCCCGGGTCCGCCGTTTCCACGTTTTCGAGTGGCGAGCCTCTGTGGACAGGTGCACCGAGGGAATCCGCGATAAAGGTTACTTTCAAACAAGCGCGGACCGCCGGGACGCGCGCGATCCCTGCGGAAATCCGCGACGGATCGCGGCTCATTAAACCGAGATCCCATCGCATTGTCGGCGACCGGCACAACCATTTCCGCTCTGTTTCCGATCAAGCAGCTCGACCTCTCGATTTTCGCCCGCGATCCCTCGCTCGCCGGATCGATTTCATAAAGGCAACGCGCCTTTTATCAGGGATAAACCCGGCTCTCCCACCCTCCTACCCTCCCCTTCTCTCTCTCTCTCTCTCTCAGTTTCTCTCGCTCTCGCGATTGCACGAAACCGGAGCTTCCCCTCTGCCTTTGCCGGCCGACGAATGCGTTTGGAAACAGAGATTGCTCGAATAGTTTCGAGATGTTGAGGGACCGCCGTGTCCGCATTCCAGGACCCCGGGCCTTCCGTGACCGGGTTGCGTTTAGAATTCCACCGTGCCCCGCCTACGTGACGGACGATCATCCCAGTCGCCCACCGTCTTCGAAACGGCCGGGCGAAACGCCCCCTTCCACGATAATACGTAATCACCTCCGATCCGATTTTCTGCGGCCTCTGATTCGACTAATTGCTTCGGGCGCCGCGCTCGTTATCCCGCGAAATGGCGGCCCGCACGTCGACCGACGTCCGCTCAGTTTCAGTCGGTTTCATTCGGTTCTCCAGGAACTTTTCGGGAGAATTCGGATACTTTTATTTCGAATTCTGCTGGTCGCCGTTTCCTGGCGGAACGCTTGCGATCCGAGCAGATCGAGAGTGTTAGACGCCGATTTTTCCATCGTCTGACCAATCTTTTTCGCCTGATTTTTGCATCGTCCAGTGGCATTCGATCGCCTGAATTGTGATTATCTTAACACTTTTTATTTTTACGGTCAGTTTTCGTTTACAGTCAATTTCCTCGCGGAATTACGAGTCATTTCGTCGGCGGTTTACTTTCATTAGATCATTGTTCTAGTAGAATTGTTATAAATCGCGTTATAATAAGATGACTTCGATCATATTTGCAACACATATTTGCAACACGTTCGAAAAGTTAATATTTATCAATAGCAGACTGCATGAGAACCCTTTCACATCCGAAATATACTGATCAAATTCAGTTTGTTCGAATATACATATTAGAATGAAAATGATTGTTCAAAATTGGTACCGACGCGGCGCTCAACGTGTTATACTGTACACGGTGAATCCGTTTGCTAGACTCAAAGGGGTTGTGCTCTCTTTAATTTAAAATCACTAACGATCACTTTACGTTCAAGGTTAACTAAACTCTTGCCCAGATAGCTGATCACTGTCGCTCAACATTCCAGGAAACGAAGCTCATCTCGAAATTAGCAACAGCGAGCAAATGCGCGTCGAAACGTCGCGAACTCGATGAAAGAGTTAATAAACAGATGATTATGTCGAACTTCTAAATGATTGCATCGACGTACGCGCATTGCACCACGAATCGCTCTTTCAAAATTGCGCGCGTAGCCGTCGTAATCCAATTAGGTGTTAAACGCAGCGATCATTTCCAACATTATATCATCATCGTTTTACGTTTGATTCGATGCTCGGGGTTGATCCGATGCCAGCGACGCAGACTTTACGCGTTCGCGAGGAAAACGACGAACAGCGAAATGTGGGTAAAATTCTCTTTTGGTCAACAGAGGAAGATATTTCAGCGATACGAAAGAAGATTATTTCAATGATGCGAATTATTTACGCGCATTACGCCGGACCGATTCTCGGTCGAACGAATTACGTACTCTCGGGCCGCGCGGTACATTCGCGCAAGCAGATTAAACCGGCCGAGGGGGTGCGGCGTCGACGGAGGGGCGGGGGTGGTTGAAACTGGCGCAGACTGCGGATTTTTGAGGGCAAGAGCCGCGGCCGGCGATTTTCGTCTGCGGTCGCCTTAACCTGGAAGAACGCGATAGATTCCGGTGGACGAGCAATTCCGGTCGGATTACAAGCCACCCCTGGAGGAATTCTCGGGATGCCGATACGCCTGGGTTATTGTTTCCGTGGTGGTTCGCGTCGCGACGGATTAACGAGTCGGTAGAGCAAGCGGCCGAGAGTCCGATATACCTCGGCAGAGTGAGTATCGGGCTTTCTCCGTGGATTAGGCTGCTCGTCGTCGCTCGAGTTTTCGCAGCGGGCTTCCCGCGATTAACTCCGTACCCCCCTATATGTCGGTTATTCGGTCGGCTTCGAAACAAAGAGGGAGACCCCCATCCGAGGCTTGAACCGGAGTCCCCGCGAGTGGCAATTTCGCGAAAGAAAACCGACGAGGCACCGCGGCGAGGGTGCCGGGCCCCCTCGGCGTCTGGTCCACGATTGCGTTCCAACCCCCTGCTCGAGCGCGATTCGGTTTTTATAGCCCGGTCTCCGATAGAGATACCGGGGGATATTTATCGACGTACTTATTTCGACGAGCCTCGGGCCAACCCCAACCCCCGGATAATCGTCGGAAGAGGCTGCGAGCCGAGCCGAGCCGAGCCGCACCGCCCACGAGGCTTCTCCGCGCGCTCGCGAGCGAACGCTGCTAATCCGAAAGGCACACGGACTGACATAAATCAAACCCCGGATCCAGGGGATGCAACCCCCCTGGCCGACGATCATCGGCAATCCAATCCATCCCTCGGTGCCGAATTCTCCTAACCTGATTGTTTTTACTCATCCCATCGCGGTGTTTCTCAACCGTCCACGTCTATGGGCCCGCCGATTTGCCGCGATGGGGACAATCTTTCAATTTTCGGATACACGAGCCTTGGGGTGGGAACGTTTGCGGGTGCTGCAGCGGCTTTGTAATCGAGAGGCTCCCCCGAGGTTTTATTCGCCGAGCATTCTCTTCGCCTCGAGCATTTTTTTGGGGGAACGTTTTCTTCACTTGGCATATTCTTCACTGAGCGTTTTCCTTGGCGAGCAGTTTTTTCAATGAGCATCTCGTCGACTGGGCATTTTTTTTACCGGACGTTCTGTTTACCGAACATTTTCTTCGCCAGGCATTTCTTTTTTTAGTGAATATTTTCTTCGGTGGGAATTTTGTTCACTGTGCTTTTTCTTCACTGAACATATATTTTACTGAACATTTTTATCGAGCACTTCGTTACTCACCTTCTGACACTAAACTCACCTTGACGGTCATTTTGACAGATTTCACATATTTTAGTATAAAATTGTGTCGACGTTCCAGAGACTCTTTCGCAGGAAACGATCGAATAGATTTCTTTTTATTCAAGCATACATTTTCCTAAAATTGTCGAGATGGTCTAAATAAGCGAAGCCTTGACATTCGTATAAACCACCCCTCGGCAATCGCTTTCAATACTCGGCAAGTTTGGTAAGTATGATAAGTTTGATAAATTTGCCAACCAACTAACCATTTTAATTTATGCCCAGGTGACGATAATTTCATCTCCTGTCTAATGAACACCGCCATGGAGCAGCATCGAGAACGATCTTCAAGCTAAGGGGTGGTCCATAGAGGAGCTCAGGTGGCTCCGGCAGGGGTCGTAAAGGTATGTTTTTTAAAGGCTCGCCTACGCACGGCGATCTGGCTGCTTTTAACGAGTCCCTTCGCCTTTTAGCGAGGCGGCATCGAGTTTACGGGAATCCGTTCACCATGGAACAGCTGGAGAATGAAGAGGATGATGAAGGGAGGGCGAGGATGGAGGCCAGCGGGCGTCTTCCGTGGGTGTATTCGCGGCTGGCCCATCGGCGCCGAACTGAATCAGCATTCCGTAAGCACTAAATACCGCTAATATCGCGCATGTGCCTCGTACACCTTGATGGATGAGAATTCGGCTGTGTGCCCTCCGCCCTCTCGCGTCCCTCCCGCGTTTATCCGACCCGAACCCGTCGCCGCGCCGCTTAGTCACCACCGGCCGCGGCTACGCGTGGAAATTGCGTAACCAAGCGAGCTGGAAAACGACGGAGAGACAAAGAGAGACACAGAGAGACAAAGGGAGACGACGAGAGACAGAGAGACAAAGAGGGAGAGCCGATTCGCGATCAAGCCCCGCGACCGTCCGCCTGCCGTAATAGCGGCCGCGCGCGCGTTTAATTGATTTGCGACAGTAGCGGGACAGCCTCGGTTTTATAATGCGACCTATCCGCTAAGGGCGCGTTCACGGACCGCAGCCTGCGCTGGATGCGCCGAATTGCACTGATCGGCGCGCAATGCAACGAAACATCTATTTTCTTGGACATCGTCGTCGGGAAAAATCGAAGAAAGTAAATACAGAAAGATGCACTTTACATTCACATTACATCCAAATGCATCTAAATCGAAAGTTTCGGTCTTTTCGTTTTCCAGTTGCATCACTTTCAATAATTATTGCCCAAATCCTATCAGCTTATTAGTTCTCAATGTTTTATTGATTTTTGGGCATCTTATTAACAAAGATTTCCTATAAAAAAACAATCTCACTTCGTTTCAATATCATCGTTTAACAGCTGTATAAAATCAAAACTGTCTAAGGGATGAAATACTGAAATTCTTTCCTTCAGCGGCAAGGTTTTAAAAAACCGAAAAATTATCTGCTGATAACTGCGATAAATACAGTAAAACTATCGCATGTTTATAACGTATATAGGTATATGTATATGTGCAATATGTGTCTATTAGATAGAGTCTTATTAATCGCAGCTATCGGCAGCTAATTTTTCTACCTCTCGATTCTATTTCTCTTCTTTCATTTCTTTGCGTGTTCTCTTCTGGATCGCTCGTTCTCTCTGGATCATTCTCTTCGTAGTTCCAACGATCGGAAGTTTTTCGATTTCAATCATTTCTAAGAAGAAAAGAGACGATTTTTATTCATTGTATGTCTACGTTTACTCGAATGTACCGATTGTATCAATGACAAGAAATTCGAATATTTTATTCGGACTGAAGAGAACGGAATAACAGCATTCGTAATTAACAGGTTATTACTAGAAATCTCCGTCACGTGTCAGACACGTGAAAGTATGGCAACGGTTTAAGATACCGCGAAGCTATACGGCACGAAATGTCGACGCCCGAAATATATAATAATGTTCACGAAAATAGGTGTTTCGTTCCACTGTGCGGCGCGCACTCGCCGCGACCAGTTTTCCACGGTGTTGTCCATCATCTACTCGCTCGCCTCGAGAACCGCTGTCCGAAACAGCGCGGCCATCGCGTTTCAACGCTAAACAATGTTCGCTCGCAATCGCGGACGCTGCAGCTCTTTGCGCCGTGCACGCTCTCTCTCTCTCTCACTCTCTCTCTCTTTCGCTCTCTGGCTCTCTCGCTCGCCGGTTGCCAATTTAGGCCCGCTGCCACGCCGGAGTGCGCCAGGAGCTGCATTCGTCGAACTCGTTCCTCCGCTACGGGGTTTAGGGCCGCCGCGTTGTTCCGCTCTGCGAGAATGCAGTTTTCGAGGAGGGTTCTGGACCCCGTTACGGTTGCCACGCCCACTTAAGTAGAGATCTCGGCGAGATCGATTCTTGGGTCTCCAGGTGATCCACGTTTGGGTCTCCAGGTGATCCACGTTTCTGTCTCAATCGGCTCGCGTACGCAGCAGGTGCTAGACTCTCCGGATCTTCGTGATAGGAGTTAAATGGACGCGGTGCATCCTTTTTTGCAATCGTCTCGGCGAGACGATGGCGGTGGATTAAGTCGATCGTGTCGTATTTAAATGGATTCGGCATTCGTGTTATGTACAGTTGAGACTAACTAATCTGAAGGTTTAGATCTCTTTTCAATATCTTGACGCCAAAACGTTCTATTCAAAAATTTCATACCAGTTCTGTTTTGAAGAATAGTGTGTCTAAGTAATATAATAATTAGATAATAGAACTTTCGGATGCCAGAATATTGTGAACATAAATGCTCGGCCTAGAGTTGAGAACATTTTATTCGACTAACGAAGAAAATTTTATTCGAAAAGAATTTATTTGATACATTATTCAATATTAAAATTTTATTCGAAGAGTTTATTCGATATATTATTGGAGTGAAATTTGATTCGAAGAGTTTATTCGATATATGATTCGAATAATATTTTATTCGAAGAGTTTATCCAATATATTTTATTGGAATAAAATTTGATTCGAAGAATTTATTCGATATACCATTCGATAAAAATGTTATTCGAAGAATACATTCGAAACGCTGTTCGAATAAAATTTTACTCGAGTACAGCCAACTCCGGCTGATACTTGGCGAGGCATCGTAACTCTCGATCCGCTCACTCCTAGATTCTCCGTTCGGACAGCGTCCGGTAGAGAACATTTCTTCAGACTTTGTACAATCGATGCGGAACTTGGCGGAAGAACAACAATTTATTCCAGGGAGTAGCGAGTTGCGAGACGAGGAGGGTTAACACGAGAGAGGGAGGGAGGGTGGGAGGGAGAGGGTGGTTATAGTTCGCACCGATAGTTTTGGTCGGCGGCACCGGCGCATCGGAGGGTCGAAGAGCGTGTCGGGGCGAGCGTAGCCGCGAAGGGTTCGCGACCCCGTCCCGACTTCCGGCTCGCTTTTGTCCCTTTGATGTCCAAAGAGCACCGGTCCGGGCACGGTCTAAGACGCGTCTAGGCCGCATGTTTTCCGGCGGCCGGCTCGTTGTGCTGGTCTAATTCGAAACTACATATTTAATCCTGGGCAAACTGCCGCGGAGGTTGCCCGGGTAACCGGCGACACAAAGAACTCGCTAGCCGCGAGGGATTCGACGGCTCGTCGCGCGGCTCCGAGCGGAGCCGAGCGGAGCCAAGCGGAGACCGAGAGCGGGGCGGTTCTAGCGGGGCCGGAAGAGGTTCTCTCGAGCGACTACGAGGGTGGATATAGCGAAACGCCGATGACAACTGCGGCAAGGAATCCGAGGACGAAAAGGCTAGGCTGTTCGCTGTTTCCATGCAAATTATTAATTTCAACCGAAGCCCGGATTTCAGTCCTCCAAATTGTTCCTGCACAGTAGAAATGATAATATTTCACGTTAGTTTTTATGTGGAACGAAGCGCCTGGAAAAATTAATTAATGGAAAAGGAACGACGAGATATTCGTTTCACTTGTTATTCGATTCAATTTGATTATAATGACATGATAACAGTGACGGTAAAATATAACTTTAATAACAAAGATAATAAATTAATGTTTGCATCGATAAATATAAGGAGAATTATGCTCGGAAATAAAAGAAAGAAACGGGAATTGTTCGTCTCACAGTAATCGGTTCCGCTATCTTATATGATAGAACAGTTTCACTGGATTTACAACCCTTTTCTTAGATTTTCTTCAAAAATAACTGTTGCATCAGAATCGATTAGTGATGTTAACAGTTTCTATCGGAAATTCGGCTATTAAATAAAACACCGTTTTAATAATAATATATACGGTTATTAACCAGTTAGCTGTGTTGCAACCCTCTGAAATGTTATCCTATTTAAAATGTTTGCAATAACAGCAACAATTGCAACAACAATTGCGCGACAATAATTATTTATATTTTTGTATTTGATCGTTTTATTACGGTTTGGCCGCCAAATATTCGAAACATCTTCAGTTTTCACTAAAATTGCAAATTAAACAGCAAGCTTTTACGGATCATACTCGTGTCGTAACGCGAAATAATTGCCGAATTCTTCGCGACGAGTATGCTCTTGAAAAACAGCTAACTGCGGTTATATGAGACACTAAAGGACGGTATTACCTATCGGATAAATCCAAGAATTTCGTGCGAGGCTTGCCGATAAGTCGCAGAACGCGTCGACCTCGACGAGGATCGCGTGGTTCCAAGTGGCACACGGTCGTCTCCGGTCGTGGAGAAGCGCGATAGAGTGCGAGAGAGAGAGAGAGAGAGAGAGAGAGAGAGCGAAAGAGTCGCCGCCACCCTTGTTGCAGGTCTTGAACGAGAACGACCCTCGGTTCCTCCCCTATTACCCTGGCCGTCGCGCGCGAGATACGCGGCCCCCGATGTCTGGCCTGTTCTCCGCCCCGGCAGCCTCGATCCGAGTGCCGGAGATCCGGCTGGAAGCAGCCGCGACCGAGCCGGATGGTTAGGCTCGTTCTACGCGCGGATATTAACGGCCGGCGAGCGCGGAACTTCGCGTCGTTCCCACCACCCCAGCCGTGAAAAACGACGCGTCCGCCGATAACACGCCCCGCAACCGACACCCCGGCATCGTATTTTCATAAACCTCGCGCGCCCCGCGCGAGCCGCGCTGAGCCAAGCCGAGTCGGCCCGCGATACATTTATCCGCGTTATTAGACTTCTTTCTTTTTAATTAGCGAGCGGAAAGTAACTTCCACGGACGGCCCCCGATATTCCGCGAACTTCGAACTCGCTCCGCGCGAGATTAGGCTGCGTCCGCGCCTAAGAACACCGGATTTTCGCTGCTGTACCATGCACGATGCTTGTAACGATTAACAAAAGCTCTCTGTTCAGCAATTTTTCAGGAAGATATTTCTTTCAGATTTATTTATAGTATTTTTGTTGTTCCTATTGTGACAGCGATTTATTTGATTTTACCGCAGGGCGAGGATTAATTCTTGGCGGTCGTGTAACAGGTCACACTCGGCGTTGATTTTTGCATTCTAATGCACTTTAATGCGAATCGAAAGCTCAACAATTCTTGCAATATCAGGGTAATTAAATCGATGAAATCGAAACTGGAAATTTTTGAAAATAGGGGGATGCAATTTTAACCCTTCTGCACCTCGTCGAGCGTCCTAGTAAAATTTCGTTTCGTTAGAACGTATTACAATAGAAAGGTATTCTGG